AACTTCGGTTTCGGTTTCAGCCAGAACAATTTCAGTTATCTAAAGACCTTGTCATTGGCACTTCGACTGTCTCATGCTCCTATTCTCCCGGAGATGGTAACTGCTATGCGTAGGACGACAAGATCATGTGAGAAATAGGCGTGGGAAACCGGGCGACCAAACAACGCGCGTTGTTGCTTTGAGCGCGCGTGTGGCCCAAATACCGGAGAAGTTATCCGAGGGTATTACAGCATGAGAAACGACCAATCAGTGTGTGGCACACCATAGGCCAGAATGTTCAAGAACGCTCACCCATGCCACTAGCAGGCATATTGCAGAACAGCCAGCACCCCATAAGTAAGCTAGAATTGACGAGCTAGGAAATCCGCGGTTTCTGTTGGCCTTGAATAAAGTGTTTGGCCCCAGAAACAGACTCTCTTATTTTTTCGCTTGCCTGTCGGAGTCTAACAACAATTCATCCGGACTACTCATAACCCCGATCCTTTGATTTTGTAGATTCTGGTCAATTCAGAACTCGCCGACCCCATGCGTCACATGGCTTTGGAGGTCATAATCACCCTCTCCGAAAACATCCCCTCGGGCGTAAGAAAAGCTGGCAAGGACCTCATTGAGCCGCTTGTACGTACTCTCCTCAACATGATGACTGATCTAGAGGAAGACCCGGAGTGGGAGACCGTGGACGCCGCTGAAGAGGATGAGGAGGACAGCAATGCCGTGACTGCCGAAATGGCCCTCGACCGTTTCGCCTGCGCTATGGGCAGTCAACAGGTGTTGAATGAAATCATTCGCACAGTGCCCACAATGCTGCAAGACAGTAAGTTTTGATCTCGCCGTGCGAGTACTTTCTCATTTCCTCTCCGGAGAGTAATCATCTGTCAAGGCTACCAGCTACTGGAACGTTTTGTTTAGTTGTGTTACTGCTTCCGTTTCGCGGGTAGGAGGATGACGTTTCAAAAACATTTAATGTCTTTGGCAACGCATTGCCTGCGCGCCAGATTTAAACAGGATATTGTGCCTAATGGGTGACATTTTTCGAGTCATTCATGCTTTTTACGCGATGCTAAGTAACGATAAACATACCACAGCAAACTAGCTCGAGCCGTATGTTATCAATCATTCAAACCAAGTTCGTCGATGTCTGTTCAGGAAGCGAAAATTACCCTCACCGGGAAGCCATATTTTTCGCATGTGCACTTCTACTGTAGGAAGAAGGGCATCATG